GTGACCATTGCATAACCAGGAGGTTGTGTGTATGGGTCTTACGCCTCCTCATGGCTGTTTTGGAATTAGGGGTTTTGGCTAACTCCTGGTGAACAATCAGTGGTTCACCAACCCGGTTACAGCCTCGGATATCGGCTTTTCGTCCTCTCAGTTTGGTGGGCAAAAACCGCCACGAGGAGGCAAAGGCTGTTAGAGACGCTTGATCTAATGGGAGCGTTTCGTGAGGTGCAGGGTTAGGGGTGACCAGCCGCGACCTTAGACACCCACCCCCGACCATACTGAGGCTTTTGGAGGCCCGTGGACAATAAACATTCACTATATAGTGCTCATAGGACTAGTCAATTCACCAGTCCATTTGCGAGAAACCACCGTTGATCCAAGAAGTTGGTCCAGCTTATTACGATAAAGCTGAGTTGTTTCCATAGGAAACGTTTATCGATCATCTCGTGCTTTTTAGTGCGGTACGCACTAGAAAAGGTAATTTCCACATCTGGGCTAAAACAGTAGCATGTCCTTTGAGACGGTCATTTTATATGCAAAGAGTCAATCCGTTAGGTTTAGCATCGTGAATCCGGTGACGATGTACAGTGGGATTACTTCATCATGACCTATCGGGTCCTTATGTGATTCGCCACTCCAATTCCCGGGGTTTAGGTTGTCGGTTACCATCACCCAACAGCAGGTCCTCGTGACTAAGGGGTTCACTCAGTCCGCTGTTCATCACACACTGGTGCGTAATAAAAAATATTCGTTTCACACCATCTTGGAGAGCTTATTATTCCGTTAGACGCATACTTTGAACTGAGTAGCAGTGGTTACAAACGGCATTAATTGTTTGTTTGTTTGAACAGGGCAACACACATGAATAGAGCAGAAAAAGGTTGATGAGCACCATGAAAAAAACGGTTTNTTGTGTTGTCCGTAGTCTACATCAGTGGAGTCCATAATTTAGTCAAATGTTTGAATATCGTATTCGTCCGACTGTAAGCGATCCCCCACTTTTTGTCTATCTGCTTAGAAAAATACGGCCTGTTTAGTCCACTGCTGTCATTATGTTATCTTGTCTCGAATTCCCCGGATGGTGCCCGACTCCATAACGAATTCTTTTCTGGTAACTCTATCAACTCTTGAGCAGTATAGGATTCATGACATATTCCCGGTATGCAGGTCAGACAATCACACGATCGATCGGGTTCATTCATCGATCCGTCGGATGGTTCACAGCTGCAACAAGACACGTCATGCTTGCCCAGTTCACTCGAGCGAGATCCGACATCTGGCCCACCGCCTCGAGTCTTTGGCATGCCCAGTGAATTTTGATTGAACGTAGTAGGAGTGCATTCATCATATGGCTGGATTACAGGTGACACTAAAGGGAGACAGACAAACAGACAGTCTTGTATCGGGTTGAGGGATTTCAAGTTGCGCAAACCAAAGAAGTGTAACGTGAAGGGGATACCGAAACAAATTATCCGGTAAATGCTGATATTCTGTTGGACAAATTCGGTTTACACCATAATTTTTTTGCAACTCCATGTTTTCGTGAACTTTCCATACGAGTTTTTACTGCGCACAACGATTAGTAAAGCAATAATATTGCAACGTCTGAGTCCGACAAAAAGAACCGTGATACACTTCCATCTCGGTGATTTTACCTTGCATCACTTTCAGTGAGTGATGATGCTCTCATGTCTCTCTCATTCAGGGTAAGCACAGAAACTGGACTGCATTGCTCCGAAGAAACCTCACGGCTTCGCATCAGACTTTGTTTTGTTCGATATTTCTTTCCCCTCCTGTCTTTCTTACACAGCGTATTCCTGCATGCGCTTCGCTCAGCCAGACTACCAGATTATCTTGGGAGTGTTATCGATGGGTGGAAAGGTAATCATTTTGCATTTCACAGTGAGGTGTGTACGGCACTGTCCACCCCCGAAAACACCCCCTCTGTGTGTGTCCTCGAAGTGAGTTTGTTCTGTCAACCACTAAGCAGGCTATTGTCGTATTACACTGGTCTTTGATGCGGGTTCACTCCAGCTATGGTTTTTCCCAAGTCCCATTTGAGGTTTCTTGGGGGGAAATTTCCCCGTCTACTAGACGCACTGCAGAGCAGAAGTTTTGACTGTCTGTCCGATGATACGTGTGATGCTGTTTGTTTTACTAATCATTTGACAAAGCATCTGTCTCGCTTTCCGTGTTCCATCCGCACTGGTCTATTCCACTCAGAAATGTTTTCCTCACCCCAATCAAACTATGATTCACTGTTCACACCCAAGCACAAGAATTCAGAGCTTTTTCATCCGCGAATCGTTTGGTCTGACACAGCCTGATGTCTGTCATTTGCTATTGTACTTCTTCGAATGGGAATTGCCAGTATGGAGGGAGGGAGGGAGGGAGGGAGGCAGAAGAATACAATGCTTTCTTTCGCAGAGATTCCATTTCTCTGCATCCTCGAGATCACAGTGGAATGTTCCCCCGTCTCGAATGCAAAAATGGCGACAGGGAGTACTGAGCAAAAAAGGTTTCCGCACACGCACTACACGACGAGTTCGAGGTGCAGATGACCGGTCAAGGAAAACGTAAACTGTAATCCTGTATTGTGAATATTG